GTTCAGACGTGTGCTCTTCCGATCTATGTTGTACTAGAAGTCGTTGACACGCTTGTGCAATTAGAATGAGATTGACCATCTCAATACTGAGATATAAGCAATTAAAAATTGCATTTTTTATACGTGTCGCCTATACAAAGTTAATAAAACTGTCGCGTTTATTTTTGTAGGGCCCAAACTATTGAGATTTTAATAAAAAACGAGTATGTGATGAAGAGATATGAAACGGATATTATGAAAAAAATTTATAATTTTTTACCATTTAGTTTGGAAAATAGAGCCTTTTAAAAAATACAATTTTCGATTTTTATTGACATATGGAGGCGAGTGAAGGAGGCGGCCAGTCGAGCTGCGTTAGTTTGCGTTTGTCTGAATTAATTTTTTTCTGCGTATGCGTGTGGTCTATGGATAGGCACAACCAAATGTTTTTTCTCACTGGCGGCAATGGGAATATCGCCACCGAGCGCGCGAAGAGACCTAACTTTTGGATGGTATTGTCGCGAGTGTACTACCTTAAAGCCTCCTTCACATCACTCCAACAAATTGTTCGAGCTCAGTTCTTCGTATACTGATTTAATGTGTCACAAAAATGATTTGCGTTTTCGACGTCTTTTGAAAGAGGTCTTATGCACATATCTTCTAATGTTCCGTTCACTTTCGCTTTTTGCCAAGAACACCAGGAATCTGCTCCAACAGGACAATTATGGTGCTGTGGTCAGTAGAAATTTTATGATAAAATGTTGTCCATATGAATTTTTTAAATTTCTTTTTTGCTGTGAGAGTTATTCTTGATGGCAAGACTGTAATAAATGGTTAGCTCATTTATTAATTTTGCAGTTAACTTTCCTCTACCGCCAAGGCCTTTGTTAGCTTTTTAACATTTCTTACAAGGGACATGTCACAACTGTCCGGTACCGATTTAATTCTCCTTAAAATATGTTTTTAAACACAAAAATCTAAGAGACACGTATTTTTTTATATGTGCGGAATCTCAGGTTTAAGGGGTGAAACACCCTTTTGAAAAAAAATTGTTTTTTCTTCGTGGCGAATATCATCGAAAATATAACAGATAGAAAAAAATGTTTTAAACAAAAGTTGTACGGTTTGAAGAGTACTTTCAAGTTGTAAAGAAAAAAATTTTTAATTTTAATTTAACAAAGTACCTCTACCACTCTAAGTTTTTTTTAATTAAAAAATTTTTTCTCTGTCAAATTAAAGATTATTTTTCTAAATTCAACCGTATATGGTCAAATTAAA